GTGGGACACTCTTAAGGGACACTCTTGTGAGACACTCTTGTGGGACACTGTTGCGGGACACTCTTGTGGGACACTCTTGCGGGACACTCATACGGGACACTCTTGTGGGACACTCTTGTGGGACACTCTTGTAGGAAACTCTTGTGGGATACTCTTGTAGGACACTCTTGCGGGACACTCTTGTAGGACACTCTTGTGGGACACTCTTGTAGGACACTCTTGCGGGACACTCTTGTAGGACACTCTTGTGGGACACTCTTGTAGGGCACACTCTTCGTACGAGACTTCCTCCAAAAGTCACGCTGCGAGGCTGCAAGAACAACATCCGCTCACACGCCAATCCCAATGTGACAGCGACATTCACCTCTACCACAACTCACAACCTCACGATTCCCTGCACCTGCCACGAATCTTTCCGCGTCCACACGTCTAACGCGCACAAAGTACTGCGCCTGCCACGAAATGTCACCACCGTCACACCTCGCAACCTCACGATTCCCTGCGCCTGCCACGAGAATCGCACTTCCACGCCTCAAAGCCCGCACAAAGTCCTGCGCCTGCCACGAAAAGTGACAATATCATCTCATGTGAGCTTCAAAAAATTTGCACCGCACCACACGTTTGGAATGATGTCGACCCGTTCTGAGCACACTCCCATCCACCAAAATCGCCATTTCAGCTGAGACTTGTCACGAAAACCGAGCTTCGATGCCACACCCTGAAACGCAAATCCCAATGGCACGGCCACATCCAACACCCCAAAAACACGACTCTCCAAACGCTAATCCCAATGGAACTGCGCAGCAAACTGCGGATCTCACAAAACGCTGCGCCTGTGCAGCGAAATGCTTCACGTTTCTTGCGCGACATGTCATTGCAAATCACAATGGAATAGCGGTGCAAACTGGCACGTGACACCTCCTTGCAAAGTCACTTGCAAAAGCTTCCCCCAATGGCAGCGAATTTGAGACGCGACGACGACGACAAACGACGAGAGACGACGAGACACGACGACAGACGATGACAGACGACGACAGACGACGACAAACGACGCAAGCCATGCGAACACAGCTCCAACCCCCAGACCCCCAACTATAAACGGGAACCCTTCGCTACACATTCGGGAAAAAAGGGACTCACCAAATTCTCCGAATTGATGGATCTGGTATTTTCTCCCACGTATTCCAGCTGCCCTGCCCCCAAACCACAGTGGACACGGGGGACACCAAAGCGGCCTCCCGGAGCTTCTCCGAGACACCGCGGAAGCAGTCCTGACACCTGGCAGCTTAAGCTCCGCGGCGGAGAGGCACAGAACGACCGAAGGCTCCGTGGTTCTCTTTTTTTTGATCAATGTTTGGATAAAGTTAGATGAGTTCCATCCGCCATGAGTGATGTGTTCCTGTACCAACCGGTACTGAGGGGTCCCGGACAATTGACAAAGGGAGTTTCGAGAGACTACAAACTTCTGGACATACCGAGAGAGCTGGTTCAAGCATCTTCAAGCCTTAAAGACCTTGTGATGATCTCTCTTCGGTTGCTAAGCACATCAGCGCCACATGTGGTGAAGTCCTCACTCTGATCACATTGGCCGGTCTTCATAGAGGGCAACCATGTGGTCATTGGTTACCACTTGTCAATGCAACTGTAGGAAAAGCATGGAAAAGTACACTCCTTACGCCAACAAGCAAATAAACTGCCTGCTAACTTGAAGGGACAACTTCGCGATATCCCTGGCTTGTCTCCGGCGACGTGTCACCCCAGCTCCATCGGCACCTCACGCAATTGGTCGCAAGATCCTCCACCTTTGCAGCACCAACAACTGTTGTCGGCTTCAAACAACTGGAAGAAATCAGGCTGTCACAGTGTCACGATATTGGAGGGAACAAGGTTCGCTACTAGTAGCAAAGGGCATCGCTACTAGGAACAAGAACGCTACTAGGGGCTCCTGGCCTTACTACTAGGAGCAATGTTTGCTCTTAGAAACAATATATAGAATCAAAAGTAATTTGAATCTAATGAGTCCTTCCTCTGGCCTATCGCCCAAAAGATATTCTGGCCTCTCTTTTCAGATGATTGATAATTTTTTCCTATATTCTGCAATCATTTCCACAGGTCTGATGAGCATACCTAAGACCAGGTACCCAACTCTCACAAATGATTTTGGTCGCCCAAAGGTAATGATGGTAATGAAGCCCGCCGATAGAGGTACTCACACTTGGCACTGAACGCGCTATACCTCCTCTGGGAATGGTCTAGAGAGTCTAGAATCGAATCCGCCTTCACTACTACGCACATGAAAGGAATCCGCAAACCTACAGCAGTGGCTAAGGCCTGTTTGACCTCGCTAACGACAAAACATGGCCAAACTTATTGTTGATGAGGACTGTGGATCACAACATCTCACACAAGAAAAATTATGCAATGTCTTTCTCAAGTGGCACATCGACAGGCTTTGGAGTCAAACAGTGGCCCCTGCATGTATCATCGAATCAACCACATTTCTACAGTAATTAAAATATGGTAAAATCAGTTCCGCCAAAGTAAAACTCTGTCCCTGACACACCAGCCATGCCCAGTGCCTCGAGAATGAGCCTCCGCATCAAACTCTTCGCCACCGCCACGTCCAAGCCCTGCACGGGGCGCCTCAGTGGACGGTCCCAAGGTCTGCCGAGTTGGGGTTGGTTGGCGGGTCGGTTGGCCGGTTGGTTGGCGGGTTTGATGGAGGTGGACTTCGCTTGGCTTGACGTATTAATGTGACTGCGCAGTATGATGGACGCCGAGACCGCACAACTTGACAACAGGAGAAAGATCCAGAATGGACATTGGCCATTGGAAAGAGGAGATCGAAGATTTTCCTTCACCTTGGATCGATCCACCTAAGGTTTCTTGGGATCACTCTTGCTGGTCCCCAAAAAGTTATGGTGAGCGCATCACACGCATTTGATGGGCTCGCACCTGCATCCTTTTGCTCTCTTTCGTTGTTGTAATTTTGAAATGTTGTGGACGGCAGCGAAGAGAAAGTATGAACTCCGCTTAACTCCCCTGAACTCAATGATGCAAACTCGCATTTCCCTAAACTGGAAAGGAGCCACCAATCCTGAGCTTCTCAGTTCCGGGCTTCATGCGCATAATGGCTTCGATGAAGTCATGGACCTCTTAAAGGCTCGTGTGTTCGTTCTTTCGAGACAAGCTTCATGCCGAACCAAACAGAGAACTGGAGCATAGTAGACTTGAGCGGAAAAACCCGCGAAGAACACTTCTGTGTCATGTTTGGAACAGCTGACCAGGTATATAGACAGGCTGAGAATCATTGGGGATTGGCCAAGATTAGAGCAAGTCTACCTGCACTATGCACTTCAAACTGTGAAAGCATACATGCAGACATATAACACACACCCACACACTCCATAATCCAACATGTCAAGAATATTCAAGAAAAACATGGGTCTTCTGACACATTCAGACTTGATCAAGTAGCACATAGTAGCGGCTAGCACCCGTTCTTCCCTAAAAAGGCCGCAAGACAAACAGTGATATCTTCCCTGAATCATGTATCATATTGTAATATTCCGAGGAGACAGGTAGTCAATATGGCTACGCCTGGGAGTGCATTTGCACTGCAAAAGCATGTACGGTATATAGTAATGGCTGATGACCAATTGGAGTTCTACTACCCCTAAATTTGGGGTGGTTTCGTTTGTCAAAGTTCTGCTGTGAGCTACAGTGGTTCTTACATGTTTCTACAGTTCTCCCCTCGTATTGCAAAACGTGTTTGACCAAACAAAAGGGCAAGCGTGTTCGATCTCCCAACAGCCTTCACACGCTCCGTGTTCGTCAGATTGAGCCTTGACAACCAGAAACAAATCTGACCCAACATGTCATTCAAAGCTGGTGTATGTCATGGCCCTTCTATGCAAACTGCATGCACAAACGAACAGAACTTTGATCTAGTCCCAGAAGTCTGCGAGTGTTCAGCTGAAAATAGCCTTGAGGAGTCGTGCAATTTGAAGTTTCCTTAAATTAAGTTAAATCAATCATTCGCAAGGCAAGGGCGTGCAACAAATACAAAATCAAACCCCGGTGTTTGCTGGGATAATAGGCGAAACCGGCGTAGACGTTTCGTACAGCAAGCCATCGAGCGTTACTCTGATGTTGACCAAAATGCCTGGACACTGTTCAGACTCTGTCGAAGCGCGCAATTTTCCCTTCGGCATGAATATGTCTTTAGGCTGGTCTTTTGAGAGTACCAATAATGGCACGACAACACGCATTCGCAAGCCATCTGGTATATCTCAATACCATAAGTTCTTCAGTGGCCTGATTTGATCGGGTCTCACTTTAAATAATGCCTGCGCCACGATGTCTGGACACAAAAATTCTGGTCTCCCTGAGAAGCAGGGACCACTGCCATGTCTTTGTCAACATGCAAAGGCCCAAGAAACACAGCAATCTTCGAAGACAAGCTCTCTGCAGAAAACATCGCGTCTTCTGGAACCCTTACATGCGATCCTGATTATTGTTACTGTGCAAATTTGTGGGCCGCTGCAGCTAGGAGGTTGCGGCGCAGGCCCGACAACGCTGGAGACTAACGTCCTGAAAGTGTAAATGCAGCAACATCCTTTGTAATCTTCACGTCTATATAACTACTTCATCCATAGGATAACTCCCATTGATCAGAGGCCTTGTGAGACAATGTCAAAACATTGAATGACTACATATTGCTACCACAATGTGTGGACATGGGCTTCTATTGTTGTCGATCTGGCCACGAAGCATAAATCGAGCACTTGTGACTATGGCACGAATTCCAAGCCTCGCGCATCTCTGTACATGAGAACCAAACAAACTTCTGGGCGCGCAATGGAGTTGGGAGCAGTGCTGAATGGCTCGAACAGCTATGTCAGCTATGTGTATGTCAAGCAAACACGGCCAGCCATACACCCAATTAATTCCTACTCAACCTTGAGTCCCATCTTCGGCCTGTAAAAACCCTGCTGAATGCAACATGTACGAATCCAAAGCTCCACAAAGCCTGCCCAGTCTAGATGTCTACGGGCCCCCGTCTGCAGCTCACTTTCCGCTCACTCCCTGTGCTTGTGAACCTGAGTCCCGCAGCACGGGCCTCTCAAAGATCTTCCCACCTGAGAGGTCGCATGTAGCTTGTAGAGTTCCAGCAGGGTAAAAGAACGTGTAATTGCATAAAGATAGTTGGGAGTCGGGAGAGAGAATTGAAAGAAAATGTGTTTGCATTAGTTTGTATCCTGCCAAAACTGGCAAGAATAGATTTATATATATATATATTTATTTATACTGTATACTATATAGTTCTGATTATGTTTGGCAAAAACGTATATAGTTCTTGTGCTTGTTGCAAGCCAAGGTGCTCCATTGCATCATCGTCATCATCCGTGGCATCTTCCATACCAGGAGAAGCGTAAACAGTTGATGGACTGAAGTTGTCTTCCTCCAGGGTTTGGCACTCTCTTTCAACATCATCTTATTAAGCTACTAGTAACAAAGGGCATCGCTACTAGGAGCAAGGTCGCTAGTAGTAGCTCCTGGCCTTCCTACTAATAACAAAAAGCTACTAAAACTAGTACTCACCTAGTTACTATTACTACTTACTGCTTTAGTGGGGGAAGCTGCGAAGTGTGCCAAAGCTTTTCAATGCAAGGGATGATGATCTTGTTAATTTTGTCAATAGTACGTAGCCTTTTGTTATTAGTAGGAAGGCCAGGAGCTACTACTAGCGACCTTGCTCCTACGGTAGTAGCGATGCCCTTTGTTACATGTAGCTTCCTGTTCCTACGGTCCGTGTGTAAACCAGTCCCCAAAATTCACCCGCCTCCGCGTATGATGGAATCTTTTGCTTGTCGACGAACTCAAGCTTGATCTCATTCTCGCAGGGGCTTGGACGCTCGAGGTACCTCCTCGGTGGAGTGGGCCCTAATTCTGCCACGTAGTGCGTGGCTTTGATCCAAGATCTAATTAGGTGCCATGTCAACATCAAACTGGACAAACTATAAGAGTGCTCATCCTGTAAATTTTTCATACTTGATACTCAATGCTCACTACGCTACTGCGGCAACCCAACACCTGTCCAAAGGCATGAACAAAGATTCACGACCGTCGTTTCCAGTTCCAATTCTGCGGAGGCACACGGCTGAAACCATCATCAGCAGCTCCTAGGCTTCAAAATGAATCTTCAGTCACTGAGTGGTCTGTTTGGATGGTGGCTAGTGACTGGTGTTGCTTGAGGCTGGTGACCAACTCCAGTGATCTTCGCTGGATCAATCAGAAAAAAATAACATGAGACGAATTGAACAACTCCAGTGCCCTGTGAGCTCGAAACAAGGCAATCTAGCGATCTAGTGATCTCGCAACAAGATTCTTTGATAGACTGAAAAAATCAAAGAAAGAAACACTTGCCAATCGCCTCTCTGCTTTCCACCTCACCAAATGGACCCCTGATGTGTGGGAGGAACGATGCATCCACAAGGAGTAAGGAGTCAAAGGTCAATTGAGAGAAACATGATATAGACCGGTATGTATAAGTCCACCTCAAAGGATGAAGCTTCAAGGCAAGTAAGTACTATTACTATCACAATCCCCACACCGAATCCCCCGTTCGTTCCTAAATATTATATACTCATTACTCCATATCCAAACCGACCGAACAAACCAACTGTATCCAACTGTCGATCTCTTCCACAAGTGACCCGTTTCAGTTGACCTCTGTGCAGTTCGGTCCCCAAGGCATCGAACTGGGCTCCCTGATCAAACCCTCCGAGCTCCGACGTCTTCTCTCCGAAGCACTCCGAGCTCCGACAAGAAGTAGGCGGTGCCCTTGAAGTCCAACGCCACTTTGGCCACCCGCACCAAGCGCCCAGAGGAGTTCACAATGGGCTGCCAGCCGCGGGGAAGCTCTGTCATCATGAAGCCTCGGCGCCGAAGAACAGGAGCCAGCATGCCACAACTCCACAACGAAACCAAAAACATTCAAAAACACATCTCCCTGAACATCCCTGAACAGGTGCCCATTCGCTTTGCCGGGGAGGATCACCTGCTGACCGGGTCAGTAAAAAAAACACACACTTAGGATATTGTGTACTGAACTGAATGCGGTGCCACACGCCGGCCTAAGAGACCCAAATCCTGAAAGGTCCAGGAAAGTCCTAAAGAACCTGGAGGTCTGTAAGAAGAAGTGAGGCCAAAAGCTCAAGGTCGAAGACGGCGAGCGAATCGAGCAGGGTGACGACGTTCCGCTCACATCTGCCGCTCGAGGTTCTTGGCTTAGCCTCGTGCCATTTTAGAAAAAGAAAAATAGCAGGTACGTGCAGCTGATCAGGCTGCATATCCTGAGGTCACCATAGAGAGCTTCGTTGGGCACAGCTCTATGGGCCTCCTGTGCCCCCCTGCAGTAAAACAAATGCAAAAGCATCCCTATGACTCCAAGGGTGACACACACACGCCTCCCCGGAGGGAGGCAAGATTTTAAGCTCCATGCCGAAGGTAAGGTGAGACTAAGAGAACTGACGGATCTCACGGTAGGTCTGGTAGGCAGTCAATGGGAAACTGAAAAACTAAGGCTCCAACAGGTTCCAATGAACCTAAAACTTGCTTTGACCGCTGTGGTCACCTTGTGCCCTGCCGAAACGGCTGGCTGCTTTGACCGCTGCGGTCACGTAAAGGCATGAGCCAACTTGGAATTCCAAAGATGAGACTAAATTGGAGTTCTTGTGGCATGAGCCAACTACTGTCCGCTGTGGACACGTACATCTCCGGGCAAGGGAGATAACGACGTACACCCGTTCAACGGGTCCACGGGAGGCACTCTGCGGGCTCATCCCGGGTTGGCACGAAGCCAAACACACTTAGGATATTGTGTACTGAACTGAATGCGGTGCCACACGCCGGCCTAAGAGACCCAAATCCTGAAAGGTCCAGGAAAGTCCTAAAGAACCTGGAGGTCTGTAAGAAGAAGTGAGGCCAAAAGCTCAAGGTCGAAGACGGCGAGCGAATCGAGCAGGGTGACGACGTTCCGCTCACATCTGCCGCTTGAGGTTCTTGGCTTAGCCTCGTGCCATTTTAGAAAAAGGAAAATAGCAGGTACGTGCAGCTGATCAGGCTGCATATCCTGAGGTCACCATAGAGAGCTTCGTTGGGCACAGCTCTATGGGCCTCCTGTGCCCCCCTGCAGTAAAACAAATGCAAAAGCATCCCTATGACTCCAAGGGTGACACACACACACACACACATCCCATCCGTCTCATCATCAGGTCAGCAGCCATGATCGTGGACCTCGAAGAAGATGCCATGGGAGTCCAAGGTCACCTGATCAACCCCTGGATGTGGCCAGGCTTTGATAGGGTTTGGCCAGTGCCGGTTGATAAGAGGTGGCACCTTATCATACCTTCCCAGATGTTCTCTCATTTTATGTTGTTTTACATGTTTTTGCTGGTTTGGTGCAAAACCAAAGATCGTGGCACTTCAAAGAACAGGTCCATTCTGAATGGGATCCAAAAATATATTGCCTGAACCACGGCAAGTTGCTTGCTTCAATCCAGCTGCGCCAGAAAGCAGCAACTGAACACAGTGATTGGTATTGACCAAGCCGCTAGGAGCGCTCATGGGTCTGAAAGGCAGGATGTCTGAAGGCATGGACAGCTCCTGTATGTCTGTCCCCCAAGTTGACGGGGGCACTTTGAGAACTGGCACTTGCTCTGGTACAATCCGTCGACGCTTCATGACATCAATAGCCAGCTCCTGCCCCTGGCGCTTGGTCATCTTCAATGGACAGTCTGGCGGGGCAGTGAGCCGTCGCCTCTTATCAACCTGGGTTGGGTCAATCGAACCAACTTGACCAAAGGGCCCAGTACGGTGCATGCTGAACAAACAAACCAAGCGACGGAAAAAAAACAGTCGAATGCCAACCTCACCTTTGTACAAAGTGCTTAACTTCAAGTGGGACACCAGGTCGTGTGGTCCAAACTTCTCGTTGCTCTGCACCAGTGAATCTGATCTTATGCCACTCCTCCTACCCTACACTGATCCCCGAACTCATTAACAAGACTCACAACTCTCCTCACTACTCTCCATCGGATTTAGAACTACACTTCACCAGTGGTGAGGTTTGTCAGTCTTTCTTTTGATTCCCTTTCTGTGCACAACATCCTTTCACCACTTGGTGCCACTTGTTGCCCCCACCTGCTGGATGAAGGCCATCGCCGGCTGCACCAGCCCCGCCTTTCTGAGCTCCACCTGGACATCCTCCGGTGCCAAACGCCGGCGCTTCGCCTCGCCCGGCGACGCCTCGGGCGCTTCGCCGTCGGGTGGAACGGCGTCCGCCAGCTCCATGGCCCGTTTGGACTCCATGGCGTCTGAGCCCGACAGGACATCGGCGGCGTCGGTTTCGAGAAAACCAGAGGTTTAGGTGGTAAAAGCTTAAGGGTGTGGTTTTAGGTTGGAAAGGTCTCGGTGATACGAGCATGAATGACACCTGCACATTAGAATTTATGGAAAGTAGGGTCCACACAACGAGCAAGGCTAGCTGGAAATCTCTTGAACACCACTAAAGCAAACCAGCAAAATGACCCCATGCTTGTCAGATCTCCCAAAACTGACATAGCCTTCAAAAACCTTCCAAACCCTGACATCTACCAGCTTTTTGTTATATAGTGCTTCACACTTAGGACTAGGACCATGAATGATGTTTGCCTACCTACTTCCACAACCCGATGCATCCCGGTGCAAACTCCAATCTGAGGCTGCCCCGCTTCTGATAAACCATCAAGGCTTGATCTGGCCGAAGGTTGATGAGGTCCAAACTGCAGCCGCAGCCGGAACGGTTTGGAGGTCTCGAACACAGAAGTAGTTCCTCACACACCCTGCTGCCCTCTAGACACCAATAAGTCTTATATAAGTCTAGTATCTCGCAATCCTATACTGCTGGGAGACGCTTGCCCGAGAAAGCAACTTTGAACCCGTGAGACATGAGACCGACGCCTCCTGGCAAAACCATTGTCTGCGAGCAAGTAGTTCAACCTCTGCTGCAATTTGAGTGGCATATCGTCTGGCTGAGGTGGGCACAATTTGTTCAATACAATTGATCTGAACCCAATGTATATATATATATATTATAAGCTTTACGACACTTACAAAATCAATCCATCAAAAGAACTTGTCAACATCTGGACTCGGTGTGGTTTCCCAAACCAAGGGTGGAGCATGTCGATAGCTTTTAAGCATTTTGTGTGGCACCCTATGATGCGACTGCGACGACACTTACTTGCAGTTTGTGCTTTGGCCAGTGTAACCACGAGAACACGAAGGAGGTCGATCCGAATTGTTGTCCTCTGGAATTCCTTTCCATTCGACCGGTGTTCAATAGATCTTGTTACTAGTAGCAAAAGGAACCTAATAGGAATGGCCTCCACCCTAATTGCGATGGCCTCCACCTAGTAGCTTCTAGTTACTAGAAAGCTTCAAAGACCGCCTACTGGGCGACGATTCACTCTTGATCTTTGGATGAAAGTCCTTTGCCCTTGCCCCTGGTTCCAAGACCCTCATGATCCGGCCCTGAAACCAGCCCGTCCCGGTCTGCACGTGAAACACTGGGCTCTTCGGCTCGCGGATGGTGATTAAGTTTCGATCCACCGGAGTGAGGTCCTGTGACCAAGGACTATCCACTGCTGGGCTATCCACGAGCTATCACAGGATAGCTCACGCTTCTTCAAATTGACGAAGTGCTCGCAAAAATCATTTAGTTCCTAGATTTTGAGGGAAACATAGGGAAACGATTTCAGAGTGGCACGGTCATCCCTTAGCGCGGAATGAAAGAGCCGGGCAACCGCAGTGCGTATGCTCTTCTACCATTTCTGAATGTCCGTCTCTCTGGTCAAGTCTTGTCCAGAAACAAGTACAGTACAAGTGCCTGTTCATCTTCCGGGCGGCTTCGCCGTGGTATTTCAGCATGATTTCCTGTTTTTGTCGGGTGGTATGGGCGGCGGGGTCCTCCAGCTCTTCTTCCTTCTTGAACTTCACCTGTGGCACCGCTCCACTTCGTACCTCTCGACGCGCAGTATCGGGGTCTTCAGTGTCGTTTGTCTTGTCACTTGCGCCAGCCACTCGACTCTATCCTTTTTTGCCGCTCCATTCATGCCAGTCACCCACTGGATCGAAGCACTACCTTGCAAACAATATGACACTGAACCTACATGCTCGGCGGAAGTGTATCCCACAGGAAAGATCTAATTGTCACGGATTTACCCTTGCAGTGAATAAGAGATGCACAGGCATACCAGAGTCCAAAGGTGTGCAAGGGAATGAACTTACCGCAGAATCCAAAAGAACGGTAGAACCCAAAGGTATTCAGAACGTTGACAGGTATCTTCATGAAGAGTCGAGTCACCTGATTGGCCTGAGAGCAACCAATTATGAAAAGTGATCACAAAGTCGAAAACTCATAACAACCAAGGCGTCTCTATCTGTTCATCAAGAAGAATTCTCGAGTCCAAGTGGAAGGAACTATGCCAAAGAGTCTTGTTCCCACGTCATATTCTGACAAGATCGCACAAAAAGTAAACGCACTAGAACATGATACATAAAGACCAAGGGCACGACACGAGACCTATCTTGGAGGGCCTCCTCTCTCAAAGGGCAAAAGTTGCATCCCTCCCCTTCCGTTCAGTCACAATTCATAACCACATTGCATTCCAAAGGGTATGTTGTTGACTTTAACCGCTGTCAATAACAAACATGGTTCACAACAAGGACACGTGAGGCATTAGATACGCAGTTGTGCACGCAATGCATGGAAGCAAGAAGGATCTTGCCGCGCGAAGGGCGGATGGAATTTCTGTTGAAGTTGTGCAGTTTCATGATTTAGGCTGTGTCAGGAGCAAACATACTTTTCTGTAAGTGTGTCGGTGAACCCCTCGCACTCGCGCCGCTCCCAAATACACCAAGGGCACATTAATGAAGGTAAAGTTGCCCCCATACCTGCTCAGCTGCTTAGCACATGCAGGGAGGTTACCTAAAGTGCCTGGCCCAATCAGCTTCCATACTTTTCAGAAAGTAGTCTCACCTATTTAATAGACCGCAAATCATCTCAAATCAACCCAAGCAAAAGCTGACCTCACGATCAGCTACGAGCACCCTCATGCAGGAAGGTGGCATTGCACTACGGCTTTTAGGTCAACAAATCAGGCCTAGAGCTTGCGTGGAATGTCGCAGCTGAGCCGCTGGAACCAACACCACCCCCGCACCAGCTACAAAGCCCACCTGAAGTTGAAGGCCTTGGTCCAGGCCCAAGAGCGAGATGCTTCCCCAAAGGTCACACTTAGGAGAGATGGAAGGAGTTCCGGTTGCTATATATGGACAACATCAAGAGGCTGTGTTTTTTCTGTAGGTTCTTGGAAAATCAACTGGTGACAGGCAAGGACTTATCACAAGATCTTGCTTCCAACTGCTGGGGCATCAGGTTGAAGAAGGAATTATTGATGGACAGGCAATGTCCCAATGGTAATTACCTCCTCATCTATCCCAGCAGCTATTCGCACCTGAGTGGATGTTCCTCTCATTATCTCTCATTCATTTTTTGTTGCGGACTCTGCTTCAAAATCATTCCACTTGCCATTGGACAAAGGAGGGTTTAGCCTGAAATAAATTTAGAAGCTCATTTATGCTGCGTTATGCTAGCTGCTAGCCACTAGCCTGGCAGCAGGATCGCTGCTTCGGTACATCTGCCAACCACGTAATGTCTGTGTGTGGGCCCTCCTGTACTTCTATTGAAAACTTTTGAACAAGGGTGGTTGATGGTTGCTTCTGAACAAAGTGGGTATAGGGTGAGGCGTCTGCGAATCTGAGTTCAAGATGGTGTGCGAAAGTGAGCTGCTTCCCCTGCGGGCGTTACGGTATGGCTCGCAAAAGGCAACCACCCGAATCTAGTCCATTGAATTCCATGGGCTAGTAGGTTGGAGGCCAGAGGCCATCGTGCAGAACAGGTCACCGATGATCACCTGGCCTGACTCACTTGACCTGCATTATCGCCAGTGGATCGAATGGTGCACGCCCAAATACGCCCCCAACGCCCTCCCAATCAAACGGGGCCCCCAGGCTTTGGACAGCGACACTGGTCGAAATATGATGCTTCTCAGGTGGGTCCTAAGGGCATCGCTACGAACGGAGCAAGGACGCTGCGTCCGATCTCAGTGCCTTTTCGAACGCCATCGAAAGGGCTAGGTTAGGACCTACCAACATGCTGCAGCAGCCAAAGAACAGGTGAATCGTTTCACGACCAATCTTTCACACAGCCTTGCCCTGAACTACGTAGCCAAGACAAATCCCAATGCAAATCCATGAACAATTGATGAACATTACTTGATGTTCCACACCCCACACACGCTCCTCCTCCAAGACCCCATGATAACTTTGCTTCCAAACTTTGCTTCCCACTTCCTGATCCCCTCCCAATCCCACTTCATGATCTTCTCATCAGCTCCTGCTCAATCTTCGCGTTCCCTCCAAGGCGAGGTCTGCCACCTCCTCTTCGCCTTTCTCCTCTTTGCTGGGAGGCTCTTGTTCGATGACCTTCGCGGCCAGCCCTGGTGGCGGTACCCGGCCATGAGGGGACTACAAACTCACCCGAAGTTGTTCTCTATGTTGTTCTCGGTGCACATGGAAGTGGACAAGCTCCACTCTTGTGAAGGACAGCTTACAGTCATCAGTGGCATGAACCAATTGTTGCTTCCATGTTGTTGAGTCGGGTGGTATCAACTCAAGGATAGAGTAGGTGCTCATCCAGTTGTTGTTCATCGGCGTCCCCCCGGTCTTGCGCTTCGGACCATGAAGACATGGATTTCTTCTTGACTCCTTAGACGACCTGGTTGCACGACAGTGCAGCTCTTTACATGCCAGCAAGCCATAACCGCAGGCCATGCATGAACAAAATCTACCCTTGTGTCCAAGCAGCATCTAAACAATATATAAAACCTTATAATACTGTTATTGTCAAACGCCTTCGGATCCGGAGAGCAAGAATCATCGAGAGCAGCATCGCTCCATCGATCTTCAAAGATTCGTCCGAGTTGCGTAGCAAGGCCAAGCTCTGCCTGACCCAGTTCAGCAAACCGACTGAATAACTCTACCATGTTAGACCATCCCCAAAGCCTGTGGAAACCTGGAAGCCTGTGGAGACGTCACCTCGTTATTTTTGCAGGCGGAGCCTTGCAATATGAACACTTACAGTATCCAATCTGGCTTGGTTTGTATGCCTTTCGATTTGGGTTCGCCGCATCTGAAAGCAACTTTGACCAAATGTACTCCACTTCCTGTCAGCTTTGCCTAAAGCTGAGCAGTCCCATGGTGATCAAGTGACCGACGTATTG